AGTGAAAAAACAATCTATTTGTTACAGGCCTCAACAAACATAACTATGTGTGTTCATTGTTGTGCTGTTACCATGAGATATAACAATAACAGGTCTGTTTTTTCAGGAGCTCCTACTGTCCCGTTGCCCAGCCAGGTGACGTCCTCACCAAGTGTTCCACTGTCTGTCCATCCTGCTCCAACAATCCCAGGTTGGCAAAATGATTTAGTAGCTCAGCATCTGTGTTGCCCAAGACCTGTAGTCTGTGAAATCCAAACTTTCATGATGTTCTGCCTTCATTTTTATTACACAGGCTTAATGCCCATGCGTGGAGGTCTTCCGCCTTTTCCTAATTTACCGAACCTAAACGTCAACTTGCCAGAGGTGGCTCATGTAATGCCACCTGGAGTTGGACTACAACATGGAGGTATTTACTTTTATTCTCTGGACTCTATGTAGGTTACCAATGATAGGTTTTGAAATTGTCTTACTGTCCACAAAAAAAAAACAAGGATCAACGATTACACGCAAGTTTTTTTTCTGTGTAGCCTAAGCCTGATATATTATTCCTCTGTGCCACAGAGCTCCTAATAAAATTCAGCGTAGGTATTCCTGTTTGACTAGCTTTAACCTGAAAGCACAGTGCCTAGCTGTTTTAATGTAAGGTGATTAGAGTCTGACAGGCTGGCTAAGCTAAAAAAAAAATACTGAAACAGACTAACATATTTTAGGATTTGTTGATGATAAAAATTTTGGCAGCCTTATGCTTATTTGTAGAAGTGAATATACACTATAATCATCCCTCCTCTTCTTAGTGGCCCTGAAGACATCCCTTCATATTGCACATCCACTGTTAGTGACAAGGCACAAAATTGAATCCTCTTTTGTGCAGAAATGTATTCTAATGTCCGTCCTGGTGATTGTAGAGCTAGGATATAAATAGAAAAAAGTATGGCAGCACATCATCACTATGTCATTCATTGGCAACAAGGTTTTTTTTCTTTTCCAGAGTAAAATTTTACCCCCGTAAGCTTTATCCACAAATGGTGGCACTTGGGCTCCTTTTCCTCCGTCTGGGACACAAGTTGGCAATATGCAAAGCGTGGATCTGTCAGAGTGATCAACGTTCATTGTGTTATTACTCTTTGATGAGATAATGATGCCACTAAGAAAGCAAATGATACCTTATGTATATTTATCACTGCTAAGCATCAAGACTCGCCATGCTGTGTTTGTACGCACCATGTGGTTGGAAGCATCCAGCATTTGCGCCGGCTCAGATACCCACTTCATGCCCTTCACCCAATGCCGTGGTGTGGTAACGGTGTGGACCCAGTCTGAAGTTCAGTTCGTGGGGTATTTTTGTTGTTGTTAAGCTGCAGTGGGGGGACGATACCTTAAGGACTGTAACCTTTGTCCATAATCACTGACAATGAAAGTAAGTAAGGAAGGGATCTTTTCAGGGCCGGTATGAACAGGAGTGACAATTACACTAAGAAAACACTGTTTCTATGCTCAAATTAGCACATGAAAGTCAGAAAAAATGTTTAAGGTAGCACGTTTTCTTCACATGCAGTTGTCTGTAACAGATTATTTTGTTGTCGTACTCTGCAGGTTTTCCACCTCTTCCTCCTCTCAACTTGCCAGGTGTGGTCCCTGGTGTAACTCTGCCTCCATCTGACTTTGTTTTTCCCCACATCTCTGCGAATACTGCACCTGCTGTACCACAGGATACCACATCTCCCTCTTCCACTATCCAAATGAACAGTTCACTGATCAAAACCCCCAACCCATCATCGGCGACCACCTCTGGATCGATAAATATCACCATGTCTGTGGACTCATCTTAGCAAAGAACAGCATTTAAGGAAGCTAGCTCTAAAGTCCTTACACAGTATCAAGTCTATTCGCTGCACCACTCAGCTGACAGATTGATCTTACACACACTGTTAAGATTGTTGTATGAGCTCAAGGGAGATGCTGGAACTAAACTGCTGTTCCTTCTCAACTGCAGCAAAAACAGCAGGTTGTTCCAAGAATGATTTGTCAAAAGAAAACTGCATCTAAAGAGCAGTTTGTTTGGTCAGCAAAAGAAATATTAAGATATAGTCAAAAAAAACTTTCAGCAGAATTAAACGCTGTTGCAGTACAACTTTAAAATAATAGGTATGATAATTTTGCTCAAAAACAAGTTGTAAAATATGAGAAATGGGTTACTTTAAGTGTGCATCTTTAGGGGTTAAACTAGGGGGGAGAAGGAGCTGTTACTTATACTACTGGGGATTTTCCTTTAGAGAAGAAGGTTTGCTTGCTGCAGCGCCGTAGCCATTATTAAACTGTTTTGATTTTGTACAGAAAATTATTTGTAAAGTGAGATATCGTTGCCTTGATTAAACTGATGTATTTTCTCTAAGTCAGCCTCTGGTCTTTCTCTTGGTGTGGTTGACTCCTTCGTAAAGCCTGTAACACTGTAGTACCAGTCGAAGCCAGAGGGTGCCAGTATAATCTCAGGAAACAGAAGCTGGCGGATGGCACCCTAAAATTGAAAGTGTATTATCAGGTGATGATCTCCAATACCATTCACTGGGAGAAAAAAAAAAAAGTTTCCTGGCATTTATTATTCACTCTTAGCAGAACTGTACAATTTGTACCCGAAGTGGAACATACAGCCCTTGAAAAAGTAAGAGCAACAAAGCAGCAAAAATGAAACCACTCCAGGAAACTAGTTTTACACTGGGAAATTTTAACTCTTTGTACATATTACTGCTGCAGCTCAAAATTTGAAAATTCTCCTGTACAGCATATACAGACTCCAATTCATCATTTAATTAATATTCCTGCATAGGGTTTTATACATTGTCATTTTTCTACATTTGGTTACTTTGTGCATTAAACATAAGTATGCTGCCCCAACCTACATGACACTAGATGCCACTTGTATGCTACACATTACATTCTCATGGCTAAGTAACTCAAATTAAAGCCTAACATCGTGAAAAACAAAACATTTATTCAAATCAATAGTGAAATCTTTGTAGTTCTACTTAACAATGACTGTCCTCTCCTCACAGTAAATTAACTTCTAGCAGCTGAATCATTTGCACCCTGGCAGGACCATGTTATTTAATCTAAATGGCGGGCTGCCAAGTCTCCCTTCGGCCCTTTAAGGCTTTATCCATCTGCAACATCTGAGTGTCCAGTCACATTTTCTTCAAGGTATGTAGTCAGTTTCAGTGCTTTTGTCGGACCGTTAAAAAGATCCATTTACCCATGTCTTTAAAAACATCCCTTCACTGTCCCTCCATTGATCAAGCCAGGTGAGATCTCCCCACCTGTGTCCTGCTCCTTCTGTTGCTGACTGTTCCTCCTGTCGTGAGCCCAAGCTTTTGAGGAGCTCTGCAGACGCAGCTTCAGTCATCAGTTTGCCTTTCTGTCACAGTTCCAAACTGTCAATATGAGATGATACTGGAGGAAGCTGGGCTTGAACCAGCAGCACTCATCTGCAGATTTCCAGAGGAGCTTGATCTCCGCATGTGGGGGAGCAGGTAGGGGTCACTTCCCAGCTGGTGAACATCAATCCGGTCCTCCTTCCTGTAGGCCAGACACCGCCTTATGAAAGCCTGAGGAGGGAGGGAGAGCATTAAAAATGAACAAGTTAATCAGTTTGAAGATAAAACTTATTTTTTTTTGATGACTCAGGACATTTTAAAACAGCCAGAGCTCTCCTACCTTTGCTTCATTACTGGAAACAGGCTTTACAGGGAACTGAACGTCGGTAGCTTTGAGTATGGTGTTCTCCTGCAGGATGTCCTGTTGTGACTGATTGTGGCCAAAAGGCTGAAAAAGAGGGACAGTGCTTTATCAGCAGGCATAAAATAGATATATTAAAAATAATAACAATAATATATTGCCATCCTTACCTTCCTTCCATATAGACACTGGAAAAAGATGACACCCACTGACCACACATCCACCTTATTGGAAATCTTTGGAGGTTCTTTACCAACCACAAAACATTCAGGAGGCAAGTACCTGACACCAGAAAAAAAAAAAGTTTAGTGTCTTTTACACACATCCAGTGGTTCTAAGTAATTTAGCATATTCAGGCAAGTACTGAAATTAAGTACAATTGATATACTTTTCTTGAACATTTCTCTTTTGTTCATTTAACTCCACGACGTTACTTTAACAGATGTTATAAGTTCTTATTATTTATAAAGGGTTTGCATACATAACAGTTTGAAACATGATGCGTTATTCCCATGTTTTCTTAATAATCTGAGTCTGATTTCCACCGCTGTAGATTTCTGTGTGTGCAGTGAGTGTGTTTGTGGAGCCTTTCATCTCACCAGTAGGTCCCTGCACCCTGTGATGTCAGGTCCATCCCATCTACACCATAGTTGTCGTCATCCATGATTTTGGACAGACCAAAGTCAGTGATTTTGATTTCCCCACAGGCTGTTCCATCCACCAACAAGATATTACCTTGAAATCAAAGCACGTTAAGTCAGCACGACTACAGTGATTATGTATCGAGTCATTAGTTGTCCAGAAGTGTATGGTTACCTGGTTTAAGGTCGTAATGGATGATGGGGGGTTTGATTTCATTCAGGTATTTTAGTGCATTCACAATCTGCATGACTATGGACCGTGCCTCCTTCTCAGACATTAGCTTATGCTGCTTCAAGTAGAAATCCAAGTCATTGCCCTCGCAGTACTCCATAACGGTGCAAAATCTACCGAATGGATAAAAGCCGTATTAAGAATTACAGCCCACATCGAACAGAAACCAAGTGAAAGGAGCTGGAAATGCATGAAGAGGAATGCAGTGAGTAACTAACGTGTCTGTGTCCAGTGAGAAGTAGTCGTAAAGTTTCACAATCCGGGGATGGTCCAGCTCCTTGTGTATTCGGTATTCTCGACATGCATGCCTGTGGAAGGAACGGTATTTATACTCCTATTAGCAACCAAGGAAGGAAGGGGCAGTTGCTGTATTCTGCGCTGATATCCAGACACTCGGGGTTATGGGGAGAAATCGCAATGCACTGGAAGCTACGTACAATGGAACAAGTTTTCTAAGTCTATCACAACTACCAATAATTTTGCGGTACAATATTTCAACAGACGACACATAAACATGGAACATACTTGTGATAGTTCTCCTTTTTCTCCTCTCTCCAGTTCTTGTTAAGTTGATGGATTTTCACAGCAGCGTATCGTTGTTCAATCAAGTCAAAAGCCTGTACAACGGAGACGCAGAGAAGTTGCCTTACATCTGCAAAGCACCACCAACTAAGTATTTTTCAGATTGTAAATCATGAGAAACACTTAACAACTTACCTTGTATACTTCACTAAAGCCCCCTCTCCCCAGAAGGTGCAGGAGCAGATATCGCTCATTCAGCGTTGGGTGATCTTTAAATCTTTAGATGGAAAAAGAGAGTACATAAAACAATCAGAATTACAAATATAGAACTATGTGTCAATGACAAGTTCTTAAACATGAACTTTGTGGTACCAACGCATGAGCAATGTAACAAAACAGGATTCAACAGGCAGAGTGTTACTTATATTACTGCAATGGATGATACTGGCCTTGCATGTACATCATGTTCCAATGTCACTGCAGCATCTGTCAAAGAAATTGATTTAGACTCACTGGGAGCTGTCTTCGTTATTTATTCTCTTCAGCTCCCGAATGTGAAGGTTGCGGACTCTCTCCAGACGCTCCAGCTCCGCCTGGATCTCAGCTTCTTCCTATAAATGATTCAAGCACACAAACACACAAATGCACAGAAGGAACTTCAGAGCACTGACTACAAGGAGAGGAGTTCATCAAAACCCACTTGTACACAGATGACTAGATCTGAATTAAATATTAACGGCTGACTTGGTACAGTCTATCAGGGGCTTCCTGTAATGCTTATTCATCAAGAAAACAATGAATAAATCGACTAACTACATGCTCACTCCGTCCTTTTGGGTGATTTATAAGTCGTTATGAAAGTCGATATGAAAGGAAAAGTTGTTTTACACAGGAAACAGGGGAATTGGACTGAATGTGTTCATTATACTTATATATACGAGTATAATGAACACATTCAGTCCAATCCCCCTGTTTCCTGTCAGTCCAGTTCCCCAGTTTTTCCCGTTCTATTGCACATAATGACAAACAAACTGGCCACTGGATGAATGACAACCTTTAAACTATTGAACAGTTATTGTTTCTGTGTAGCAGGTTCAACGTTTGACATACCTTCTTGAGATGTCCAAGTCGCAGTTTGAAGATCTCTTCCTGTTCATGGTACTCTGCTAGTGTCAGCCTTTTTGGGATGAAAGACATGTGGGGGGAAAAGCATTTAACAATATCTCTATATTACAAACATTTCAACTTTCACTTGTCATTATGAGAAGAGAAGTAAAAGAGAATAAAGCTGAAAGAAACCCTGACATGTATACAGCGTCTTAGGAACTGCTGGCGTCTGTTCTCTTTAAGTTGATTACAAGTTCCCAGATCAACTGGCTTTTCCATTATCTGCTGATCATGGTTGCACTATTTGGGTTTGTTCGGTTCTTGGACCCCCTGTGGAAACCATGATTAGCTACTTTACGACTGGAAGAATGACTAAATGGAAAGAGCAGGAGCTCTGTTAGAGGGCTCTGGGGAATTTAGTAAGACAATTCGCTTTAACTGTAGGCTAATAGTGAACATTTGGCAAAACAAGAAAATAGGAGTGGTTAAAGTAGCTGACAGATTACCTCATATTCTTACTGAAATTAGTGTTTTTACAATGTGCTTTTATACCATGTGCAGCAAACATTGTTAAAACAAAAAAAAGAAACACCACCATGTTACAACAACTCTGACATAGCTGAGTAGGGTGTCGGTAGTACTTCAACCAATCCAAAACCATTTCAAACAAGCCAGGAATCCATCATGCCAAATCATTAACAATCATCCCACATATGGAGAGCTGGCCCCTGGTACATATACAGTAATATAATCAAAGGCCTTGACTTACAGCTGAGGTAGGCTGGGTTTTAGAAAGGGATCGCTTTCTGCTCCATTCACTGCCTTGGTTTTGCGTTGCTTTGGCTCTGAGTTTGTGGTTGGTGCTTGGGAGCTGCTGGAAGATGGAGGTTTCCTCTTGGCTAGAAGTTTTCTCTGCCTCTCGATGTCCTCTCGCTGTTGGTTTATCGACTCTTGCTGTCTGTTGATGGACACGGGATAAGAACATTATTTGTATTCATGACTCAAAGTAAGCATCGACAGTATCAACAATTATCACAGCTGGATAGACAAGTTAGCTTTGTAGTTTGCTTGTCTGTTACCCTGCATTGCGGTTTGATATGATACAGCAAGTTACGCTGCACAGTTGTGAAAGTAACAGTAATTTTAAACAGGTTATGCCTGAAAAAAAGGACTGCTGCTCCTAGAATAAATAAAGTTAACATGAGGAAACAAGGAACAAATATTATTAAATAAATGGGACACAAACAATCTAATTAAAGACTCTCACTTGACAAGGTTTTGAAAGGCATAGCCATCTGTCCACTGCTCTGTGAATGAGGCCCCATGTCTCACTGTAGTGAAATGGCCTAAACGTAGTCTATCCTGCATGCTCTTCTCCCGGCAGGCCTGCTTCTCCTGGTTACTCTGAAGAACAACATAAAATACAGGTTTGCATTCAGGTCCGCTGACACATATAAATGTAAAAATACAGGGTACAGACAAACAATACATTTACCTTTTCTATGAGCAACTTCTTACTCATGGTGATGCATTTATTCAAGCGTTCCTTGAACTTTTCAAGTAATTTTTGTTGTTCATCTATCTGTCTCCTGAGATCACAGTTTGCCTGTGAAGCAGGAGAAAAAACAAGTACATCAGCAGACATACAAATTACCTTGTACTCCCAATCCACCAAATATTCACAGGCTCAAAATGTATGTTTATAATGTTGACAGAACACGGAAATGAATGCTGGTTTCTGAAATTACAAAACAAGACTACAGTGATATCTCAAACCCGGTCTGGCCTTTCTGCAAGGCAGCAAACAGAGCAAGATTGTCTTCGTACCCTTAGCAAGTCGTCTATTCTCCCCTCCTTCTTCTCAAGGTCTAGATTCTTAGTGCTTTCAAGGGCAGCCAGTTTCAACACTGTAAGGTCAGTCTAGAGTGGAAAAGAAACACGTTAAAAAATGCTCAAGAATCTCAGTTGTGTTTCAAGAGCACGCGCTGGAATATCAACAGTCTTTTCTCACCTGAACAAATTTGACTGCTAGTTGCTTTGGATGTGTCATGTGGTCCCCAAAAGACAGACTAGTAGGAGATGAGCTATTTTGTCTAACCTGCAAAAGAAGATATGTCCCTTGTTTAAAGACAGGACAACATCAGATATTGTTACAAAGCTTTGATTACAAGTTTCAGCAGAACTTACAGCAGTGCCCTGAGCAGAGTGGGAATGTGAGTTCTGGGGCGAACGAATCACTGGTGGGAGACCCCGTACAGGACTGGAGCCATTTCCTCCCTGGAACTACAAAATAAAGACAGCTCAAGTGTAGTTGCTGCCTACCATCTGGTAACAGTGGACTTGCCCCTCTTTCATTTTGCATTAGTGCTGTTATCTTACAGTCAGAAAACCTATTATGCCTCAGATGTTCAACAAACGCTAATATAGCACACATTATTTTCCCCACACTTCCTTTTAGTATATCAAACATCTTACACCAGACTTACATCAAAATAATCACTTATTTTGGGTCCCCGCACAATTGATTTTCCTGTGAAGACAAAAGAACGTTGTGCTTTATTAAATATTTGGAAGAAGTACTGCAATAACCAACAGTCAAAAACACAACCAGTTTCACAAAAAGAGGCTCACCTTGGCTGCTCTCTGATTGGATCTCAGGTTTCCTTTTTCTGCCTCTGGTTGTTTCAGACTGTTTCTTCTCTGGGGTCTGCAAGAGAAATTGTGATTTAATAGCATCTTCCAATATAATGAATACACAACAAAACCATTTTGATCCTTTATTAAGACTGCTGCTGTAGTCTCTATATAGGACTAACATTTTTGTTCCACTGGATCATAACGATTAAGAATTATGATCTATATGGGAGTACAGTTACCACAGCTGGTTTTAGCTGAACTACAGACTTTATTTTGGTTCTTTACTTGCTTTATATGCAGTTACACATTACGTCTTGTTTTTCTGCAGTTTCCCAACCTTAGCTATCTTTAGACTTCATCTAAATCAAATCAATGCCTGTGCTGGCAGCAGTGGATCTACAAGTAATTTAGGAACAATTAAAGTCTATTCTAAATTATTCAAACATCTGCATTCATTTAATCCTTTGCTGTATTTAACTATTACTAATATTTTCAATACAATATTTTTACCAGAGAAAATTTGGTCGTTTCATAAGTTCTTGTGCAAGCAACCACCACCTTTTTTGTTTTTTTAAATGGCACCATGTTTGACATAATCACTCAACCCAAGAGGATCACTACATATTGCAGGCTTCAGTTATGAAATAAAAACAGCAACAGCCATTATAAGATAGCTCTACGTTTTTATACCTGATTATAAAACTCACCGAATAAGCAGGAGAACCGCCTCTTTTCACATCTGACCCCTATTAAGTGAGAGAGGAAAGGGTTTTAGACGGCAACCGTGGCAAAGACCATGTGGCTGTAACCACCACATTCTGTTCACAAGTTAAAGAGCATTCATTACATCAGCATACCATTACCAATAGATTCATGATTTTTTTTTTTTAAAAAGAGGCTTGTTTTTCAAGGATGATCATGAAATAATTAGTGGTATGCAAGTAAGTCATAACTCAAGACTGTGCCTGAAAGCACATTTCATAACGACCCATCCAACTTGGGATAAAGACACATTCAACGAAACATGAACCATCTTGCCAACGAGCACAAGTTATGATTTCATTTTGAGGATAATATGAATATGTTTAAGATTAATGAAGAAAATAAGCACATAATGAGTCATCGCTGATTATTTCATAGTAGTTATTGCCAGTGGAAGCACATGCTGAATATTTTTTGCTTTAGTCATTATAACAAAGTGCAGACATTATGTGTATATATCAAACCATGACAGAGCTCAGATGATACTTTGCAAGGTTCCTAATGTGCAGATCTGCTTCTTGGTTGAGGAAAACTCTACTCTGGCAGTCTACGGCCACTCATTTACTAGGTTCTGCTTTATTTTAGTGAGAAAGAACATGGACTAGCGCTGTAAACAAAATATTTACTAAATATGCAATGTATGTAATGATTAACTTAGTCTGTGTAAATTTGATCAGTGTAAACAAGTTTGATAGCAGAACAAAAGATTTAGACCTCTACCTCAGATTCCTTGTCGCTTGAGGATCCTAGACTTCCAAAACTGTGGTTTGAACATTCATTATTGGTCAATCCCTAAAAAAACAACAATATTCATATAATAAATAACTGTACAATTCCAAATATAATTATTAAGATATTTAATAATTTTGTGTAAAACTCTCAATAGACAGTAAATATTTTACTTTGACTAATTATTACATACAAACTACTGAGGGGACTTGTCAGGCTAAATATTGACTCACTTTGGTTCCCCCGCTTGTGCTGCCAGTGCTGCCCCCAGTGCTGCCGCTGACCCCGCCCATAAAACGTGCCTCCAGCAGCTCCTGTCTCCGGGGGTCCAGGCTGTGCAGCTCCTCCATGGCTCCTGGGAGGATTAGCAACAATTCACAGTATGTCTCAGTTATTCAAGGATCAGCTTAATTGAAGCCTTTGAATGCCCACTCAAGAGCAGATGACACAGTATCAGTGAGCTTTCCAGTACAGTTATGATTAATGTGACTTAAAGCCTGACAGGTGACAGTATTTCAGTCTAGACCAGAGTATAGGCCAGGATCAGATTTATGCCCATTCCTTAGTGGCATTTCCAAGACAGGTTTCACCATACATTTATTTAGCACCAAAGAGATAAGGAAGACTTTATTATGTTTACTCCTGCGCGACTACCAGATCTACAAGCATCAGCATATTAGTGCTAGTGCAAATAATGGAGATCCAAAATCATTTGTTATAACCCCAAATACAGAACGTGTTCAGAAGTAACAGGCATATCTACACCACAAACAATATTGTCACGAGAGTCCAAGAGCCTTGTTTCAACTGCTAGGCAATGCTGAATACTGTGCTCCTGTGGGAATGATACAGGAGCTCCTTGGGCTTCAGCGTTGCTGCAGACTCAGAGGTGCCTGCTCACAAACCTGTGCTTCAATGAGACAACCATTTTGAAAGGGCTATGGAGCCTTGGTACTGTAAGCTTACAGTAGGTAAGGATTTTTGAAATCCATTTAAGAGGAGGAAAACATAACACATTGAGAAACTAGTCCTGATTGTTCTGAATTACTGGAGCTAAGAATAAAGCCTCTGTGTCGTCAAACAAAGATTAGGAAAATGATAAATGTGCACGAAACATTCGCACAGATACCTCACAATAACCACTTAAAGCCACACACCTATCAACTATAGCAGCTGCTAATGTAGCTGGCCTAACAATTAACTAAAAACATCCCAGTACCATACCACAACATGAAATACGCCTTACGGACTGGAAAAGGAATGTTATAAAAACAATTTAATGCTCTCAAGATAAATGTGGTTCCAGCTAACTGTGAGGCAAAGGGAACATCAGCGCATTTCAGCTGTGCAACCAACACAGAAATGACAGATGATGAACCAAAGACAAAAACCTCTTGAAACTCAACAAAACAATAGATGTAATCAGAATGTGGTTGTCTTAACATCCCATTTATTTGAACTGCTGTAATGTCAAATTTCCCTAGTTGAGAAACGCAAATAACAAAAGCACACACACGTAGAGTTTCACATCCTACACGCAGTCTTTAATCATCTTAGAACTCGACTGAATCTGGACTTAATTTAGGCCCAGAGTTTTATTGTTCATCAGACTGTGCACAACACAAAAAAGCCTTTGCACCAATAGCTAAACAAAAACTAATTCATCACATCCTCTATAACAAACACATTGTCTGCCGTTAAGTTATTCCTTTCAATTCATTTTCAAGCACACAGGCGCATTTTGATGTGCACGACAAAGCGACTTAAGAATTGGTTTTAGCAGAAAGAATACAGCAGACTCGCCTAATAATACTGGCTCGCCATTTTTCAAATAAGTACTGAGAAGATGAAGTAGGTGTCCAAAACTAGCATCAAGTGTCATCCTATCAATTAAAATCCCTTCCAGTCAATCACAGCCGCAAAATGTATTTATACGTTAAAGTTTAAAGGAAGTCTGTAAGCACTTTAACCATTTAGTGAGTTGATAATATTTTTCTTACCACTGTGCTATTAACAACTCAACTTGTACGCGAATCCAGCCAACAGAGTACTCACTGTAAATCACCAAAACATTGAGACGTTAGAAATTTTCATGACAACATATTTCCCCAATTTGTTACTCCCTACCCGTGTTCAATCATAACCTTAACAGGCTAAATGGCATGAGAATTGCTGGCAAATTTAACAGGCCTGTGACTAATGTAGTTTTCTTGAGTCCTTATTATTGACAGCATCCTGACTACTAATATGACTTTGTACAGGATAGGGAGTAGTAAACAACATACAACGAAATAGCAGGTCTAGAACCACACAAGCAACGAAGATGTAAGCTGCAATCAGTACCTATCTAACTGAGGTCTGAGTATTTAATGCATAAAACGTTTTAATTTTAAATACAGTGCACCACAACTATGAGCTGCATGTGAAGTTATAACCAGACAAAAAAGAGAAACAGGTTGAGGTATACTAAAATACATTTCCATGGAGAAGATTAATTTGTTCGCCAGCTAACCTGCCATCACAGTGACAGTTTTTAACAACATTAAAGCTTTGTCATTACTTCTCCTTTACTGTAACCACTTCATTCAAAGGTAGTAATCAAATATTCTTTAGTGTGACAATGCAAACTTCCCTTTGTTAACACTTTTTGCCTGATGACTCCTTAAAATCACATTAAATGCCACTACCTCCTGTGCTCAGACTCACGAGGGTTGTGTGTTAATAGAACAAAGCTTAGTAACCAATATGAAACCAGTCAATTTCCTCTTCCTAATAAACAACAAAGAAGGCTTGTCCAATTTCCTATGATGGGTCTGTGACTTCCAATCAAATTTACAGTCTACGTTACTGAAGAAGTCATCTACTGCAGTTGCACGTCTTCCACAACATACGAGTAGGAACACTGCTTGTGTTTGCTGCATGTCGTATCTGCACCAATTTCAGAGGAAAACAAAAAGCTAAAAAACAATATTTGCTATTTTTCCTGTCATAAACTATAAAGACTCTTGTAATGAGTATATACGCAACACCACTAAATGTGTACGGCTGTAGCACACATGCTGTATCTCCAACCTATTCAAATTAATGTTTCGCTTTTCCCCTCACTACAGCTGGACTAACAAGTATAACTCAAGCAGGAAATAAATGACTGGTATGTTCAGCGTTGTTAATCATAATTTCACCATAAGCACTGTGCTAGAAGGTTGTTGTAGGCGGTAAACCAACCCCATTTAACTTCTATGATTGCACCCATTAAAAACATCATCTTTGTGAGAAGCTGTAGTTTAAAAATCTTTCTGTGGCTGCTTTATATTATAATCTCGGTCTTGCTGAAATACATCCAAAACATATATCCTACTTCACCCAGAATGTTTATGCCAGTTTCACGACATAAATGCACATGAGCTGTGTGGTGATTCTCAAGGATTTCCTTTAGCTTCAAACATGAAGGACTCCCTGCATAACTATTATCTATATTCAAGCCCCTGCAGGAGCAAGCGGTTGAACCCTTACAGCTCTTGCTGTGGATGTCATTTTAACTCCATGCTGCTCAGCAGACTGACCACCTGTTTATGGCAGACACTTGTAAAGTCTTCAAAAAATCTCTGGCATAAGCTTGATGAGCCACTTGAATCTGGGTTCATTCACTGGCAAGTTTAACTTAAAAAGAACCTGCACTGACAAGAGTCTCACAGCTTTCAGTATTTACACATGTCATACTGCCAGGCAGCCATCACTCATTCATGTCAATCAGTGTATGTAACACTGGTAATACAGAGAGAGGGAGAAGCTTCTCCAAAACTGAGTTAAGTCCTCCATCATTACAATATCCAGTATAACCCACTGATGTGGAAGGAAGCATGAATAACATTAAGTGACATCTACACAGTTATTAGATTGCGTGGTGGTTAGCATGCAGCACAGCTCTAGCAGCTTGTATCCCATGAGTGTCCCTTCATATTTGTGGGGCATCCACACAAACACTTAGCAATACTTACTTAGAGTAAGGTCAAACCAGGCTACCTACCATCCAATGCATTAGCATCTATAGCCAAGGGATCTCTTAAGACCACAGATAGACTTAATGTTGGATAAATACTGTCATGTTAGAAACCGATCTAAGACCGTTCTCTACCGTTAAGATGACAAATAACGCCAGTTATGCAGATCCTGTGAACACTGATGGCAGATAAACACCACAGTCAACACACAAAGGATTGCTAACGATGCGATGCACACCTATACATTGCTTGCTATCAATAACGTTAACCATTACCAGAAATCGCTTCTTGTCTCTACTTGCATTTACGGATTCATTTTTACATCTATCGGTAACCTGGCCGGTGTTTGCTCTCCTAACGGCAGCACGTTTAATGAAAGATGCACCGACTACAGCGGCTAACATTTCTGCCCTCGCAAAAGGTTTATCGCCATTGTGCACGTATTTGTCTTAAGGTTACTGCACTGGCCTGAGCAGAGAGAGACGGTCCTGTGTCTTCAGTGCTACTAGCTAGCCAAACAGGCTCAATGGACTTTGGAGCTGATGCGTTACTGTAACGTTAGCTAGCAAGCAGGTTTCGCCACCAAGATTTGCTCGGTCATTTTAACACAATTCCCCTTCGTTTTGCACAAAATGACCTAAACGAGACATATGCGTGTTTAAACGTTTCACTATACCTTCCTGGGCCTTCACCCCTGCCGTGGTATGTTGCTGAAAACACAGTCCGTGTTGGGGACGTGGAGAGCTGGGACCAAAGATGGCGTCCCCTCCAAACTTCCACTACTTTGGATACTCATCAAGCTACTTTTCGTGTGTAGGTACCGCAGCGGTTAGTCTTTCACACGGCCAGAGAAATTAACCAACTGGTGAACCACAGTTGTTTTTTACACTGGCACGGCGACTGCCACCGAGTGAAAATGTTGAATTATGATGTTTGTAGGGCACAAACCTCTTCACACCTCAGCAGTGCGTCCGGGCTCCGGGGCCACCTCTCCGTCTTCAAGTGGTTCAATATGAAACGTCATGCATCGTGTGCAAAATTCTTATCGCGAGGGTGATAGTTTTTCTCAGCGTCACTGACAACATGAAGATTAAAAATAACAATAATAAAAAATAACATAATTCCAGCCACTGCATTCATTTACTATGCATGCTTATATGTTTTAATACAAATTCTAGACTGATAATAAAATATGTATATATCAAAAATAGTGTTTAAAAGTTGAAAAAAGTCTCTTTAAAGAAGTGAAATAATCTCTGATAGTACTAAAGAAAAAAACAAAATTCAAATATAATGAATACAAAAAAAGTCCACTAACTATCACAGTTTTGCCTCATTTGACAAAGTTTTAGATAATATGTCATTGTGTTGACAGACTCAGGCAAATTATATGGTTAAGTTTAATAAAAATAAACATACACATACTATAAATTTGGACATACTAAGTTAAATCTCAAAGATGTTGAGTTTGCTTTATCAAAGCTGTTGCTTAACTAAAAAATTCTGAGACAGTCTTCCCCAAAAATATGACACTACATTAAGATAGAAAGTTTGACTTAATAGCTTATGTATTTAACTGACTCACAGTCTAAAATCAATGCTTACATAATTTCATTATATAAAACTATAATTCAACTCCCTGTAATAGGAACATAAACATTACATAACTTCATTTTAAATCATTTCTTTAGGATTTTTGAACACTTGGGGTTTTTATCATGAGTGTTTTCCTTTATTTTTAATCTTATATTATCTTTTATTCTCTTGCAAAAACTTAATTTAAGTCATCATCACAATAAAAGGATTACACTTTAAAGTCTGTTTAGTGAACCCCAACCCATTGGATGAGTAACATAAAGTTTAATGTTTTTTAAATTTCTTTTGGATTTTGACCAATTCAGAGTTTTCAATGTGAGTTTTCTTTTTTTTTTTTTTAACCATTTTTATTTATTTATTTTTTTTTTTTTTACAGTAAATGGCTTTCATAACAAGTAGCTTTCATTTTAATCATTATTACAGTCAAAAGTACCTTTTCAAGTCTTTTCAGTTTACCCCGGACAATGTTATCTTACTATAGTGAATATATCCATATCTGAATATTATAGTCGTCACATATAAAACCAGACAACACCCATGTTGACAATATGATTCAACAGTTTATTGCATAGAGTTTGTTGCTGTTCACATACCACATGTAAAAAAAAAAAAAAAAGGGAAAAAGGCCTAAAATTAAGCTGGACTTGACGGGGTGTCAAGACGATGAACTTGGACATGATTTTCTGTACTTGCTCTGCATCCACACCCGCCGCATTACAACTTTCTTTCCTCGGTTCACTTGTAGTCGTTTGTCCTCCAGATTCTGAATTTCTTCCAGTCCAGCTTTGGAAAATAAATCATGGACCTCTTCTGTTAAAATAAAACAAATACACATCCCAAAAAAAGATGATTTTCAGTTCTTAAAAACACTGCAGCCCAAAGTCCACATTTCATCTGACCAAAAAAAAATAGTGACATCATCTATAAACTCTTGCAGTTGTTGTAATTGTTTGGATTTTTAAACACTGTCTTAGTGTGCATGCGTTGTATGCTACAAGTGTTACAAAGTGGCATAAAAGTGGAACCTTTCATATTTTTAGCCTTATTCAGTTACTATCAAATGTATATTTACATTGTTTTTGAATTATTCGCCTCAATTTTGAGGCAAAATGGCTTCTATAAACACTCAGGATTAAAATTCTGTTGGAGAAATAATGGAAAAAAAAATACCAGAATCAACATACATGTATAAAATATTTAGAATGGAGAATATAAACCTCTACCAGATCCCTCAAACCCAGAAATTGACCTCAATGTCCTAAAAAGTAGCTGTGATGCTGTTAACATCAACGTACTCCATGCAGAAAACAAAAATGCAGATTTGATAGAAAGGTACAAATACCTTTTGTGAAAAAATAAACACAGGTTCCATCTCCACGTGTGTAGAAATTCTCTGATAAGCAACGTCCTGATAATAGAAGATCAAAAAAATATGTTTAATTGTCAAAAACACATCCCTGTAGCACACACACACACACACACACACACACACAAAGGTATACAGAATAGATAATAAAATAGCTCAAGACGACAAAACGGCAACACGTGTACACTCACCCTTCTTAAACCTGAGTTGCGAGAGGTCGTATCTTCCATAATCACGGAAAAGGAAAATCCCTCCGTGTTTCAGGTATGAAGATAGTCGGTTCACAACTCCTTGCATTCTGCAGATGAAATGTCAAATAATGCATTAATAATGTTGCATATTAGATTTGCAGCAAATAAAAGATCCAAACAACCGTGAACTAAATGTAGGCTATATGGGAATATGTTCACAGACATCAAAACATGTAACAAACAGCTAAATGAGCAAAGCATTACAAGCTGAGATGTTTTGAATAGACAATGTTAAAGAGCCAATCTAAGTACATTTGTAGTACATCAGCCCATAAACTACAACATTCACTTTGTGGGCAAATCCCTGCACAGCTGATGTATTGCACTCGATTGCACAGAACAGTATGTATACACATTTAGATCTGGGTTTTGTGATGACATTCAGACAAAGCCTGGGGAATGTGAGGGTGGGTTGGGAGGGTTACGGAGGTTGTCGAGGGGGGAGGGGGCTGGCAGGTGATAAATGACATCGGGCTCTCCCATCTTTGTGCTCTAACCTTCACCTACCGCTCTGGATGAATGGAGGAGAGCACAAAGACTGCCAGAATAACGTCCAGGCTCTGAGCCGGAAAGGGAAAGGAGGCCATCTCCTCACAAATGTCATGGACAAAGGCGTGACACACAGAGTCATCGTAGTCTGGGTGGTCCTATGAGAGGCAGAGAAATTAGGCTACTTCCACCACAGAGTCACATTCACACAAAGTAAACTGGCAGATTTACTTCTTAACTTTAGCTCATACATGGATTTAGGTTACTGTTCAGTTGCTTAAGTTGTCATCTTTATAATTTCATTATATTTTGACATTTCACATGGATTTTTAAGAATTGTATTTATCTTTTCTTCTCTTGTAAACACTTTTTTAAATCATATTTTTTATGATGTGACTGAAAAGTTTCCCAGACAATGTAAAGTAACCTTGTAAATGTAAAGTGGCTGCCTACAGGGAATTTATGTGCACTGTAATTTTCAACGACAGAAAATTAAAAGAAATAAGATCCTATTATTTTGGGATACAAATGTATTCAGACTGATGAAGACGATTTATTTGTCAAACTGTTAAAAATATATTTGTGTATATGATCTACAAATGACCAGATTCTTTCAGTTTCTTCACATACAGACAGAGTGTTTTCACGTTAGCCTAGTTTGTACATGAACAGTGGTCTCAGCTGCAAATGGATCATCATTCAGAAATGCTGAAAGACTAACATAAGCAACTTTAATGTGAAAACATAAAATGCAGTGCCTCATTAAAAGCTAAAATGATCTGTCTAAACATTTCATCAGTCTATACAATGGGAGACTACCTGAGGATTTTGTGAAGCTGTGGTTGTTTTGAACCAAATTCTTACCTTCACCAGCTGAACGGCACGCGGGGAAAAGTCACAACAGTATAAAAATGAGTCGGTCTCTCTGTAAAATAGAACAACCAACTAAATAAAGCTAAAAACCACAAGCACTGGTGAAACACTGATGAAGCAGTTTTGCAGCTCAACTTGTATTTTGCCTCTAATTTTTTTAATGCCAAGGACAAGAACTGTGCATACATAATGTCGTTTACATCCCTTTCCTGGAGCTGTCTAGAAATATATACTGAGGAAAAGAAATACCAAAATCAAAAGTGAAAGCTGCTAAATGGCAACTTTGCCCATTTTAAACTATAATCTGGTCTTTATTCTAATGTAAGGCTGACCGTAAATACCTCAGAACAATTCCCATAGATGCTCTCTAATCAATCAGCAATAGTCATAATGAAATGTTAAACTTCCATCACAACATTACATTTAAATTGTTATAAAAAAAAAACTTCACTCACTTGATTTCATTCACGATGGGAAACACACTGTTACCAACTCCACATCCGACCTGTGAGGAAGAAAAAAGCCAAAGCAAATTGGTCAACACAGTTATTGAACATTTGGTCGCAATTATGTGATAAAAAAATATTAAATAAAAAATCTATGAGCATTTTTTTTTTACTTCCAAGATCCTGAAAGACGCATGCTGTCCAGGAAACGTAGAAGTCTGTGTGGCAGCTTCATTTGTTTCTTGTGCTGCTTCTCGACAGAACTCCTGACGGTGAGACGTGTTTCTGTCGTGGTGATCGTTGTGTTCGGTCTCTGTGTCGGTGCTGGATGGACTTTGTTGTGGAACTGCTGCTTCATGCTGACGACCCTGACACAAGTTTGAGGCTCGGTCACCTGAAGGAAGCAGCTCTGGGAATTCTAAAAACAACCACCTGCGATCTTTGAAGAACTTGTCCTGGTGCACCTCGTAAAACTTGTCCCAGTACTGACAAGCTTCTGTGTCAAATTTGCCTGCATGGATGGAAGTTAGGAACATGTTTACTGTTTTATTTGTGCATAACTCGGTCAAATCTATTGAAATATGTTAAAATACATTGTGGGAATGCATTCTTGCCTTGGTCCTTTAAAGGATGCTGTTCACTGGAATTTTCTTCTGCCTTCTGTCGTGCGTTTTCTTCGTCCTCCTCTGTCCACCGAACATGATCCCTGACATAAAAAAAGCATCACTATAGCAACTGTTGAATCTTGATACATTCATTTAACGTTAGTGACTCACGTTTTCTATTCGTTTTGCTGACTTACCAAGGATTTTTTCAATGCATCTGAAGATATACTTAAATCATTAAGCCAGACTTAGAGAGACTAATCCATGCGTTTGTCTCCAGCAGGTTAGACTACTGTAACGGCTGCTCACTGGCCTCTCTAAACAAGCTGTAAGACGACTGCAGTTTACCCAGAACGCTGCTGCTCGAGTCCTGACTAGAACCAGGAAGTACAACCATATTAGTCCAGTGCTCAAGTCTCTGTGCTGGCTTCCTGTCGCTCAGAGAATTGACTTTAAAGCAGCTTTGCTTGTGTGCACATCTCCTCATGGTCCAGCACCAAAGTACGTTAGTGCCATGTGAACCATCTTGGGCTCTAGGGACCTCAGGCAGTGGTCTCCTGCTGGTGCCCAGAGTCAGGGCTAAACATGGTGAGGTTCCAGTTTTATGCAGCTAAAATCTAGAACTGGATTTCAGAAGATGTGAGACAGGCCTCAACTCTGACAATGTTCAAATCCAGGCTGAAAACAGCTCTATTTAGTTGTGCATATGACAGCTGAAAGTATTTTATCTGTACTCTTCTAATGAATGATTGTATTTATGTTTTTTATGGATTGATTTTATCTGCCTTGTTGCTTTTAATGTAATTAATTAATAATTGTGTTTATGTTTTGTGGATTGATTTTATTTGTCTTCTTATACTTTTGTGTGAAGCACTTCAATAAACCTGCCTTGCCATTAAGGAAATGCTAAACTATGCTTCACGATTAAGAAAAGAGGCTCTGAGATTTCCGCCTAATAAAAGTGGGCACACCTTGACTGAAATTCTGAGATAACTGGCTTCATGTAATGTCTGTCCACAACAAAGCAACAACATTTTACATGTTTTTATTAACACTAACCACATGTTGTGCTTAAAGATGTCATCAGGATCGGTCAGAATCCTGGAGCCCAGTGGAGCTGAAGGTCTTCCTCCAGAGCTCTTCAATCTCACGGACAGTCTGATAAAAACTGTAGCCAGTTTGGCCACAGAGAAGCTCTGCAGTTTATGCATTTACTCTGTAAAACAGCAGGAGGAGGTGAATACAATCAGTAATACGTTCACAGTGAACCAAGGTGATGATAAGAAACAATTTGCAGTTTAAAAATATATAGCCAAGTAAAAAAAAAAAAAAAAGATTAGTAATTTATAAAGAACAAAGACTAAACAAAACTGTAGAAATACAAACATGTAAAAAGCAATTCTTGTAATCCTTGTGTTGTTGGAAAAAAAAATCATGTTGTGTTTTATTGTGACAGTATATTAACAAACTGCTATTAAAAAAATACAGTGATTTTTTTCTCTGAAAATAACAGATTAAAGAGGTATTTTGACACACAGGGCTAAAACAAAGGAATAAGAGCATCTTGTATCCTTGAATTTTCTGAATACATGAAACTGTACAGATCTGTTACATGACTGTCTTTAGCCAACTTCTGAACTGTTGTCCTCACTTCTGATTTTTTCAGTAATTCAGGTACAATGCCATTGGTTAGGCAACACATGCTGAAGGGCTTTTCAATCAAAGAGCATCTAGCAAAATAAACCACAATGGTATTCGGAAATAAAGGTGAAGCATTTAACAAGCAAATGTAGTGACTTCTGCCTGATCGCGTGTATTATTACAGTGTGAAAGAATAAAAAATAGAGACAGAAACACTGAGGAATCTGTTTGTACTGATTTGCAAATGGATGCAAACCATAACAGCAAAATGATCTCCCTCACTGTAGGGGTCAAGGGTTCAGGTTCTTCCTTTACATGTCTGTCTATAATATATTCATTTGATAGAACAGTGCAGCCTAAAAACATATTAATGCTTTGAATGTATTCATGTAAATATAATGTTGCCTCAGTGTGAAGAGCTAAAACATGCAAATACAAAACAATCTGATTAAAAAACTGACATGTACACACAGGCATTTGTATAATATTTCATGCCTTCTCTATTGATTTATTATCGATCATTTAATCTCAAATCATCATATTTTTCAGATAATACTGCTTGACCATCTCTTGTTTGCCTGAAAATTTATAAAACATGAATATCTATAAAAATGCATGTTAGATTTTAGTCTACTATATCAAATATTTTCTGAGATAATTTTAGAAAAAAAATTTGCCAGCTGACCCTGTTGCAGCACAATTCTTTTCTTTTTTCGCGTTTTGAAATTTAAGGGTATGTTGAATAATATCTCAGGAACTATTTAAGATAAAAGCCTGAAATAATATTGGACAAGTGGATCAGACATTCTCAATTGTATAGTAATTAATTTATACTATTATTTGTTGTAGTATATATCTTAACTAATTATAGTAATGGCTGAAGAGTTTATATTTAAGCATCTCTTTCAATAAGTACATGATTTCAGCAAGTATAACAGGTAAGGAAACAGCCTACAACATGGGATCCGAAAATGACAAATAAGCCCATATTTCTATAAAAAAAATGATTTTCTTTTTTATATTTCGAGAACCTTTTTGAAACTCCAGAACTCTGTTTTACTTGGATTAGGCTAACTAGCAATATTTTTGTTTTTGTGGTACAATTTGTCATAACTGCAGAATCAGTTAGAAAAGTCTTATATGTTATACTATTATATGTTTTGTTTTTGTAATTGTGACACACATATAGATCACATATATTTCAGAAAATATCACTATTTGATTTCTACATTGTCATTTTTATTTTTTGTTAATGTGTTAACGTGGGTTATGGGAACTTTTCATGACTGCATAATTTTTTTCACACCCATAATAGGAGATTATTTGCTTCAAATTTCAATGTGCAAAAAAAAAGAACATGCTGAAAGAGTGAAATGGGCATTTAAAAAAAAAAAAAAAGAAAATACTGTGGAAAGTGCCTAATACAGTTTTAAGTATCAGTAGTTTATGATAATTTAAAAAAAGTTTCAAGCAAATCAGATATGGTCAAGTACAAGGCTCCTGATGATTTGTAATGACATAACCTTATTGTCCTTTTGAATATATGACCATCTTTACTAATGTTTCTTTAAATGCGTTGCATATTCCACTCTTTTAGAAAGCACCTTGTGACCCCAATTTTGAAATTTACAGTTAAAATAAAGTTTTGATTTTTTGAATTATTATTACTGTCAAAAAGTATAAAATAAAATGTTCCTAAAACTAAAAAGTGTGAATGTTGTGGGGTGGTTTGTATATCTAAAGTTAGCGCACTATCAGTCGAAGGAGGGCGCTAGAGTTCCAGGCGGAGCAACGTGCCTCTAATTCCACAGTAGAAGAAGACGCCTGTAAAAAAAAAAAAAAACATGAAGCGGAAGCAGGTACTAGCATTAGCAGCTAGCTAACGGCACAAGCTCGATCTAAAAGCGACATTAATGCCCACCACTTTAACGCTGTGACTGCCGATTTCTCTTGTTTTTCTCACGTCTGGACAACTCTTCCAGATCACACAACAGGACAGACACGAATTCTGAATGAAGCTGGCGACACGTTAAGCTTTTTTTTTTTTAGTTAAGTTATGCTAACGGTTAACTTTTAGTGCTAGCTGGAGCCACAGTGAAGGACAGTGATCTCAGAAACATGACGCTCAGTAAACACAAGTAACATCACCGGACTGGAAAACTGCCCTCTCCTTACCTGACTGCGGAAGGGGTGTTGGGGTCACCTCAGCTTGTTGTCACTTGTCATGCTCCCAGACAGTCTTGTTGTAGAAGAAAGTGCAACCTGCTGATGGCGCCATACCGGAGAAGGAGAAGCATTAACGCCGCTGATCTGCTGAGCTGCAGGAGGAGAGGGATGAAAGATGCTGGGATTCTATTTAGACACTGCATGAATGTCGTGAGAGGAATCATCCTCCAGGTAATCAAAGACAATGTGGTTAAATGTTCACTGTAACTACTTTCAGTTAATCTCTTACTATATTCATTATTTTTTGTCACATTGCAGGAAAACAGAACTTTTATTAAAGTATGGAGCAAGGCCTCAAAATCCCAAATCTTGTACGAGGATGGTAAACTATATTTTGAAAACTACCAGAACTGCTACAGCTGGTAAGTATGTAGAATTAGCTTCATATTGTCATTAGTCTTTAGTCCAATAACAAATAATACATCAGAACTACAGATAAACAGCAACATCTTCAGAATCGGCATACACAAGTCAAATAATGCACCATTTTTATGCATCTATAAAGAAATAGAAAGACTACTTAGGAGATGCAGGTCATTTGCCTGAACTAATATAAGATAATCCTTTATTGCTCCCCACACCAGGGAAATGTCCATAGTAACAGCAGCAACATCTTTCACAGCAGCACTAAACATCCATTCATCCATCATCTATGCACCGCTTAATCCTCACTAGGGTCGCGGGGAGCTGGAGTCTATCCCAGCCAATTTAGGGTGAAGGCAGGGGACACCCTGGACAGGTCACCAGTCTATCACAGGGCTACACCAAGCACACTCACATTCACACCTACAGACAATTTAGAATCACCAGTAAACCCCAACATGTTTTTTTGGACTGTGGGAGGAAGCCGGAGAATCCAGAGAGAACCCACGCTGCACGGGGAGAACATGCAAACTCCACACAGAAAGAACTCGGGTGTCCTCACCGGGGCGCGAACTGGCGACCTTCTTGCTGCGAGGCAACGGTGCTAACCACCGAGCCACCTTGCAGCTCAGAACTAAACATATGGATAATAATAATAGTAACAATAATAAGTGCAATACAAGGATGAAAATGAATAAATACAGTATTATGTATAAATACAGTATTAGTAAAAACGCAA